GCAGTTGTCCGACTGGGAGTCGGATACACCCTGCGCGTCTTGACTCCACTTGGCCTGCTTGCTGGTGGCGTTTTCCCAGAAGTGCCTTCCGCCGAGGACGACCCTCTGAGGGTTGTTGGCTCGTCAGCCAAACTCTCTTCTGCTTCCGGCCTGCGGTCCGGTTCAACGCGCCGTTCAGTTGGCCTTCCTTCCGCTTGTCGTCCTTCAGTTGTCCGACTCGTAGTCGGCCGACTGTCAGTCCGTCCATCTCCTCCCGAAGGCCTTGGTGTCTTCTGTGCAGAGGTATTTGTCGTCTTCCCTAGAATCTGCGCGATTATCTCCTCCTGTGTGAGATTCCGCCGGGTCGGAGTTCGCCCGGTCTCCTCAGTACCAGTTGGCATTTTGCGTGCCCTCTGTTTTGGTCGACTGTGAGGCTCGGGGGTGGGCCGACCACGAGTCGGCGCAGCTGGCACTTCCGGCTGCCTGTCCTCAGGTCTCTCATCCCACTTCCGCTTTCGCGGAATGCGCTCACTTCGACGTTCTTCTGCTGCTCTTGCTGGAGCCGGAGCCGGAGGCGTACTGGCAGGTTCCTCGTCCGGATCCGTGTCTACTTCGGCCTCCCTCGAATATCTACCTGGATAGTTCCGGGTCAGCTGCGGAAACCGTGTTTTCTCAGCATTTGTCAAACATCCCATCGCCCGATAAAACACGATCAAGTAAGGCGATAGATGATTGAGGGTTCCTCCTTTCTCTTCTTGCGCATGTTGGCGCGTCACCTTCCACAGGAGCCGTGCCCAATGCACTGGAGCTCCTGACAACACTAGCTCCACAAATTCTACCTGCCAACCATGCATGTAAGCGGTCTTGGTCGGCTGCAATATCTGCAGCAATGCAGTCGCGACATTTCTCCGCAATCGATCTTTGTAATCCCGTGTCCGGAAACCGTTCTTGGGATGCCTGGCAACTTTGAAGAGCTCATTGTAGGAGATTTCTTCCTCCTGGGACACCTTCACGCTATCGGCCTCGAAGAGGAGATCCCCTTCCTCGCCGGCACACCTGCCCAACACCTGCGCCCAGTTGCAAATGTCCCATCTTTCTGGATGTGGACGGAATCCGCGAGAGGGTTTGTGTCTCTCCTGCAGATACTCGCGCACCATCTCCGGACATGTCCAGTTCCACCCCCACAGGAAAAAATCGAGCTTCAGCCTCAGCAGCACATCTTGAAATGCGCGTAGACCGATCTGCGGCACCCTGAGTGGAGACACTCGCAGCTGGGGAACCTTCGACATTGCGTTGCCTGCACACACAAACGTTCTCCCTTTCGCTCGCTCTCTCACAATCGCCACTGCGCGTCGGCCGCTCAAGCACTGACTGCTCACTCTCTCTGCGCTCACGCTCAAGATCGCTACTCGCAATTCTCTCCAAGGTCTGTCAAGATCCTTGCGCAATTCGTTTCCGCACTCTCTCCTCTCACTGTAGGTCGCTCCGCTCTTGCGCGTAATCTTGGAAACTGGAATTCGCAAAATCAAGAATGAGAGAATGAGACTGGAGCGCAGTCTTTTCTTCTCCGATTTCAAGAACGTCCAACGTTCTTACTGGTTACAACGTACGCAGCCGGCTATACGGTCTAACGGTTCGCCCTTTGCATGCGCGAATTCACGTCTCCGCACTGCGCGCATTCGCATGCGTAAATGTTGAATTCTCTCGCCGCCGCCACCTTCCGGACTCGAGTCCGCCGCAGGGTATACGTCGGCCATGTTGTCTTTTCCTAACCCGTCCCTCACCGGAGGCGTGTCGCCGCTGGTGCGTTCCTTATCCGTCGGCGCCTTGCTGGAGGCGCACATCTAGTCGGAGCGAATTACGCTGGCGCGCAGTCGTACCGCTTATCTTGTCCTTTATGCCTCGTCCATTGCTGCCGGCGCATATCCGCCAGCGCATCTCATGCCAGCGCATCCGGCCGTCAGCGCCACGTCGGAGGCGTACATCCGACCGGCGCTTTCCTTCCATGAACAGCCGCCAAAGGCGCTTCCGACTCTGAGTTGGTTTCCTCCTATGAGCGCGTGATTCCGCCGAAGGCACATCGCCGAGGGTGTACGGGAATACTTTCCGGCTGTGAACCCTAGCGCGAACGGCGCATGTCCGGCTACGAGTTTTCCGACGCTCATAACTTCTCTGTCCCTGATCCATCTCCGACGCTCTTAACTTCTCCGTCCCTGATCCATCTCCGACGCTCTTGGGCTCGTTAGGGCGAGCGTCCCTAGCTCTTTCTAATGCAACTTCAACCAACTGGATCTACTGTGTATTCTGATCGTTATGAAGGTTTTCCCCTTCCGTGCCAGCGGCGCATCGTCGAAGGCGCACTCATGGTCGGACGCCTTCAGAGGTCCGGGCTCTTCTCCTGACGTCTTTAGCAAAACCTCCTCCTGAGGTGTCTGCGCCGGAAGCGTAGCTTCCTTATACGCTGGAAGCGCGTGAGTAGAGACACCTCAGAAAAGGAGCTTTTGCCGAAGGCGCCGAAGACATTGGCGTTGGTACATCCGACTACGTGATTCTTCGTGTCCTCGTGACGATCTCATCAATCCACTCTTTTTAACGTACCCTTTTCTAACTACAACCACTGCTTCGGTACTAGTTTTCTAAAATTGTTTAAATTCTGCAAAAAAAAACAAAAAGTGTGTTACCACAGATCTGCAGAGTGTAGCGTAGTGTGGTTCCGTGCAGGCACATAGTACATGGCATTGTAGTGTAGTGTTAGTTAGGACTTAGAAGGTATAAAGTAGTTCAAGGCGTCTTGCCTTGGCATTCTTCAAGTTCGGAAGTGCAGATCAGGAACTCATTTTCTATGCGTGTTTGTGTACTTAGTTCTGTCACCACGCAAGAGGAGCTACAACTTGGCGATCCGCATTTTGTAGCTGAAGGCCTTCGGCCGAATGTTCAGAGCTAGTGTACTGGTTAGAGACTTGAGTAGTTCGGATCTACACTTGCGGGTGATTGCCGATGCTCAAAGCTAGTTACTAGTTAGATACTTGAACAGTTTCCCCTTACACTTTCGAGTGACTGTTCCTGATTGTACTCCTTCGGAATTTTTCCCCTGAATGCCAAAGTGAAGTTTTGCTACTTCGAGTAAATCTTGGTTGTAAATTCAGGTTACGCTGTAGAAGGCGCCCTTGGGGCAAACCTCTGCAGTATTTCTGGGAATGACTAGTGCCTAAGAATTCAAACTCTTCAATAGACTGTTATGGTGTGCTACTGGATCGTTTCTCAGCTGAGTCTCTTAGTTCGAACCTGTGTTCTCTGCGCGTTTTGTGAGTTGAGTGTGTTCTTCACCGCGTGTGAGTGACTTCGATCCAAAGTAGGAAGTCCAATCCGGGTTCCCTGTGCTAGCAGAAACTAGTGGAAGGGTTGTAAAAGTCGGAGTTGGGAGTCACTACCCGCAGATTCGCTGAGTGTTTTCGCGAGAGACTTTCCCCCTGAAATCTTAAGTGGAGGTCCTAACCAACCTTTGAGTTGTTTTTCTATAGTTTTAGGTGTGTGTGTGTGTTGAGTGAACTACACTGCACTGTGCGACCTCCAAGTGAGCTCCAAGTGAACACTTGTAGTAATTCTGGGAGTGACAGTCGCCCGAGAATTCAAACTCTTCAATAGTATGTTAAATGTGACACTTTGTACTCTATGTGTTGCCTCTGTCCCTGTGGGTTCGACCTTTCTACCACTATATTGCAGTTTTAGCCTTTGGTGGGTTATTACAACTGTTTTCCAAAAGTGTTTAAATTCCGCGCAAAAACAAAAAGTGAGTTACCACACTGCGAAGTAGAGCAGACGATTGGACGGGTAGCGAGTTAGTGCGAAGTCGGCCTTCGCATCGGAGGCATAGCAGATGAAGCGTAGAGTAGAGTGTTAGGTAGTGAGGATCTTAGAGTGTTTAAAGTAGTTCAAGGCGTTGGCCTTGGCGGATATTCCAATTTCGGAAGTTCAATTCATGAACTCGTTTTCTCTACGCGTTTGTGTCCTTTGTTCAGTTACCGCACAAGAGGAGCTACAGCTTGTCGAAGCTACCGCATTTTGTAGCTGAAGGCCTTTGGCCGAATGTTCTGAGCTAGCAGATAGTCTAGTCATGATCTTCAAATTCGGACTTACACTTTCGGACGATTTTTCCTGATTGTACTCCTTCGGAATTTTTCCCGCTAAATGCCAAAGTGAAGTTTTGTTACTTCGGAGTAAGCCTTGGTTGTAAATTCAGGTTGTGTGTGTTACGCTGCTTGAGGCGCCTTCGGGGTAAGCCTCCGCAGTATTTCTGGGAATGACTAGTGCTTGAGAATTCAAACTCGTCAATAGACTGTTAAGTTGTGACATTGGATCTTTTCTCGATTGAGTTTCTCAGTTCGGATTTCTGTATTCTCTACGCGTTTTGTGAGTTGAGTATGTTGTTCACCGTGTGAGAGTGACTTCGGTTTGAAGAAGGTACAGCATCCGAAGTAGGAAGTCCAACCCGGATGCCATGCACTAGCAGTAACTAGTGGAAGGGTTGTGAATTCGGAGTTGGAGTCACTACCTGCAAATCCTTTGAGTGTACCCTTGGGAAACTTTCCCCCTGAAACTTTAAGTAGAGGTCCTAACCGACCTCTGAGTTGTGCTTTTATAGTTTCAGGTGTGTATTGGGGTGAACTACGCTGCACTGTGCGAACTCCGAGTTGAGCAATTGCATTATTTCTGGTAATGATAGTAGCCTGAGAATTCAAACTACTCAATAGTATGTTAAAATGTGATCACAACTCAATCCCACCAAAACCCAAACTTTTATCTCCGTTTCACCAAGCATGCTCAGACACTCCACCAGCCACTTGTGCCAACGGGTAACTAAAACAATTCTCTAATAATGCCATCTACGTCTTGGTAACTGGCCTTTTGGCCCATCAATTGATATTTTGTCATTAAATTGTACAATCATATCTAATGTAATGTATGCTGTATTGAACCCTTCTAATGGAGAAGGCTTAGCAAATGAATGAATCGTGTGTATCCTGTCGTTTATCTAAAATCAGAGCCTGCTGTTTCCAAGTTTATCACTACAATTATACTTGGAAGAGGAATCTATGGTCATATGTGCTTTTCCGAAGTGAGGCTTCGCTTCCTAATTGCCACAGCCAGCACCACATCTACATTGGAACTTCATGATTTGCCTAATTCATGACAATCTGCAAATCAAGCCTTTGTTATTGGTTGATGATTGAACAGACTCGGCGAACCTCGCCGTCAGTCGCCCACTGGATGTTACTCATCTTCGTCATAGCTCCTGCGAAGTCACTGGAGAACGAAGAGCCGGCCTTCGAGTATCGAGTCACAAGCTCCTTTCCCACTGGATTCGTCAGTAAGTTTGCATCCGACTGGAAGAGGCCTTTGTTGTTCAAGACTGCCTTGAAGTACAAATGGTCGAAGGTGTTCTTGGTGGAATCCATGGCTAGCGTGGTTCCAGGTTCGTTCTCTGGGCACTTCTTCTTGAGTTCTTTGGCTAGAGAGGGGTCGATAGATGGATCGGTGAGTCCCGCAACTCCGTTGAAGTTATAGAGACGAGGCTGAACAGCTCCGCATGATGATCGGCCGATGGTGTGGCCTCCGGAGAGAATGACCATTTCCTCCTGCGTGAATCCCACAGCCGAGAAATTCTGTACGAGTTGGTCGTAAGTGGCGAATGGTGATGGAAGCTGCGCATCCGCCTCTGAAGAGATTGAAACTTTGCCATCTTTGCGACCGAGATCCAGTGACCAGCTCTGACCTCCAACCTGAAATTGCAATGAAAGTCAGTCTAGGTAACATTCATTGTGTGAAGATTATAATGGGATCAAAACTCTGAAGCGTGAAAATTACTGGCGCAAAGTAAAGTGAGTAGACTTTAGGACAAGATTTCTACCTTGACTGTGGCATCACGAGCAGCGAGGGCGAGAATATCGCCGCATGATACAATTCCAGGGCATTCGGCCTCTAGCGCCGCTTTGATTTGGTCGATTTCGTGAAATCCTCGTAGGGATCCAGCATTGGGTCGTGCATCCTTCTCAGCCGAGTTGGTTGGCGAATTTAGGAGAACGGAAGCATCGCAGCCCTGCACCATGGACATCACGTTACTGTCAACAGATGTATTCATATGGAGGTTTGGTGCATACAAAGGTCTGATTCGAATAGTCCATTCACTTCTTGAAAGTCTGCACCTGAAATCGTAGATTATGGTCGAGAGGAATAGAGAAAACTCACCCTCACGAAGCAATCGTGAAAATGCAATCGCAGGAATCCCCCCGCCAGGTTTTTGTTTGCCTTGACAAAGTTATTCACCATGTCCGTCACTATGGTCGTTGCTTGTGGGCATGAGTCCTTGTAGTAATCAGCACCACTGTAGGAGTGAGCGTCCGTGGTTGTCGCAAGTAGAATCAGTCCCAATATACTCAGTAAATTGAAAGGTGGAAACGAGCCCATCTTGAGAATTCTTGATCGATGCGCTCCTTTTGCGTCGACTCGTGCAGGTCGAGGAATAAAACTGAAAGGTGACTCCGAATCCGCTCAAATTGTAAAGCTGATATGAATCCTCGATGCGCCTGAAGTTTTGAAGCACTTGATTCTCCTTCCAAGGATGATTATACTGGACTTCAGGAGGTGTAGATGTGCAGGCAGCAACTGAACTTGATAGTTGTGCTTTGGATGGAATGTTGTGCTCACCCGGGAGATATATACACTCCGGCTAAAGAGCGTCTTTTACACGTCAATGTCTGTACGATGTGGTCCTGGTACAGAAGAGCGTGGACTCGTAGATCTATTGTGGCAATGTGGAACGGTTCCACAAGGTCCCAAAGCCGTTGACTAATTCATCCTAAACACAAGACCTCTGACCTTTCGCAGAACGACAAGTTGAAGCGATTGAGGTGATATCTGCTGGTGGCAATGGACAAAACAAGCTTGCACTCAGATGTTCAGGGAGAAAGTAAAAGTCAACTACTTGTTCCTTTCAGAAGTAAATGGTCTTAGAAAATTGTACCGAATCTTCCGCAGCCAACATGAACAATGAAATGGCTCGTGCTCCCGTCACCCTACGCTTCAAGTGGGCAGAGTGCCCAACGGGAATGACGGGGATGACTTCGTTTGTTGCCTAGTTGCGATCGGCTGCCGGATGCAGAACGTCCGGCAAGGCGATCGCGAGTGACTACAGTGTATGTTGCACGGGTCAGATGAGATCTTGAGAATTTTGTTTGCCATCAGTATGCATTTTGCGTGACAATGTAAAGTCCTGAAAGGGTTAGCGTTCGAGCAGAAGGGAAAGAATTTCAGACAACGTCAGGAAGACTAGAAAGTGCATGCGCAGTACAGCGTCTTCCAATCAGACCACTCGGTCCGCCAGCTGAAACAAAACGAGTGGCCCGAATCAGCGATAGGATGCGAACAGCGACAATAAACAGACAGATAGGCCCCATCTCCCGGATCCTGGTGAGGAAAACGTTGGGTTGTGTGCAGGCTACATCTGGCCGACGCACACATTGCCGGCGGCTGGGACACGCTAACACTTCATTCTCAGTCCTGGTTAACATCTGACCTGACCGTGCGTAGAGCGGGAACCCTGATCTCCGACCCCGAATCTGGCGGCTGCTGTGGTTAAGAGGCCGGCTATGCGTCGCAATATCGAAAGGATGACAGCGCTTTCTCTTCATAAATCCCCTCCGCAAGTCTGCAAAACCTCGTGAATGACGTGTACGTGAAATGTCCACGTCAGTCCATGCAAAATGCCGACCTGCTCCCCTAGGACACCGTAAAATGCCTCGATCTCTAGGCTGCTATTCTGACTCTGACGCGGTTACCATCTCCTGGAAATGGACATTGCCCAGTGAGTTGCTTGAGAGCATTTTCGCACATGCTGCGAACCTTTCCTCCCATAAAACTCTCATCACGCGGTACTTTTCCATGGGACAATGTAATCGTTGGCTATTCTCTAGATAGTCGGGTAAGATGAGGCAAGGTCGACCTGCAACGTCAAAGTCAGACTGAAAAGCAACTTTTTGTCATGTTGTGCTTCCAGCCTTTGACAGGACCAGGAGACCAAGTACGTACCCAAAACTACTAATACTAACTAAAGACTTTGTTCTCACTCGTCAAGTGGAGACATTCTTAGGTAGGTATCTGTCAATAGAACTTCACTGTTTAGAGTGAAATTCGCTTCCGTAGAATTGTTCATTGGAGATTTTTCTCTCGTTCATGAATAGGCTAATGTAAATTTCAGAGTCAGCACGAGACAGCTGGCAATTTCCTTTTCCTCATCATGACAAAAAGTTTTGCTAAGTTCCAGAAAATATAAGGCAGTTGCATTTTTTATCATAGTAACTCATTCATAAAAATTACATAGTGACTTATGATCTTCCTACTAAATTCAAGGAAATTTCTAGTTATTGCATCCCCAATAACATGTAATAAATTGTCGATTCCTTGCTGAAATTTGCATTCTATAATTCAATACTGATTCATATCATTCACTCATATGGTATGTTAGTTAAAAACCTCCATAGGCAGAGAACTATAATGGTTATCAAGATCAATGTATTTTTTTAACAAATAGTATTGAAAATTGATACTTAAAGAAAATACTTGTATACATCTTAGTTGCCATATATTTCGTAAATTATGATACACTACAAAACCGATTTTTAATATAACTTTTATTTTTATAAATGTGTATGATTTCAAAATTAAAAGACTAAACTTTGAATAAAGAAAAAAACGATCGAATTTTATTTAACATAATTTTTTATTGAAAAAATAATTACATAGAAAACATGGATTTGAAATATATTTGTAAAATGATAAGAATGTTATTGTTAAATTTAAATTTCTAACTTATCTGTAATTTGATTATTATAAAATGATGGTAAAATGCGAAAGGACCGCATCCTAAAGTGACCATTCCAAAAGTCAGAAGTATCAAGCTGTCATTTAGGCAAGCACGTTTATCCCAAAGTTGGAGAGCACTCCATCTTTGGGATACTGCTAGAACCAATCTGAATCCAGAACCATCTGGATACAAATTGGTGTACATCAGCTTTCAGATATTTCTCATACTAGACGTGGTAGTGATATCAAACGTCAAACAAATTACAAAGAGTAATGTAAACAACCAAGTACATAATCTGACACACAGCCAATCCAACGTGCAGAGAACAACCCAAAGACTCGCATCATGCAAGGAAGTGTTTCAACTGGAGAAGAATAAAGTGGAGAGGCAAGAAGAAGGCAGTGTCAAGTGGAACCAGCTGTTGCTGTCGGAATGAGGAAGAGAATGGAATACGCTGAGCCAACGAAAGGGAAGAACAATTGAGGCAAGGTTCACGAAGCAGGGCTGGATTTCAATGTCCATCGGGGATCGTGTGACTAGGCCGGCCATCGCGCTGAAGAATCAGTCTGTTGAGCGGGCAGATAGATGCACTGAGAGCAAGTTAATCCTTGCTGGTATAAAAGTGCCCATTTACAGGCACATTTTCTCCAAGCTTGAGCACCACGAAATTAGGAGTGCTACTCTAATAGACCCAGTCTTGAACCACCGGAAGGAAGTTTTTGGGGCGAGTTAGTCTCCAGATTGATCATATCCAGTGATCCACTATATAATCAATATAATTGATGACTAGAATTATAGTCTTCGAAGCAATTGACAGGTTCTTTAATCCAGTACATGACCAAGCACACGTGGTGACAACTGTACAAGTATCGTGTCTGCGATAAGAGCTAGAACGTAGCGACGGTTTTACACCTTTTCGAGACCGTGATACTACGTGGCGGATTTTGTAGAGAGTAATGCGATGAAAAAACCATTGATTTATTAAGGTTAAGACTAAATTAAGGAGACTTATCACCATTTCTCTTCAAGTTGTACCAATACAAGTCATGAGGACTGGCAAAAAGTACCATTGAGCAAAATAGAAATTATGATTTTTTATATTCATTCGTATCATTGGGCTTGTAAACGTTTTGTTCTAAGAATTTGCTTCTAAAATTTGGTATTCTTACTGTTATAAATCCAATTGTTTTTCTTTGTGCTACAATGTGATATTTCTGTATACTTTTTCCATAACTCAATAAATTTATTCTAGAATCAATGTTTTGGAACAATATAAAATTTTCAACTAAACGCTCAACAGCAATTTTAAAGGAAATAGACTATCAAAAAATATTAATTACCATGAAGATCAATGTTTGTAATATGATAGAAGATTTCTTTCAAAACACGAAACTTATTAGACAATATATTTACATTACCGATTTACAAGAATGAGTTACAATGAAAATAAAGAAACCAAATGCTCTCGATTCTCTTGAAACTAGCAAATTTTTAAGCTGATTATAAACAAAGTGATACCTTTGTTAGACAACATTCATCTGAAGAGATTTTATATCCAATATCTATGTGCCTATTTACATTTTGAGAAATTTTGTCCCAACTGCTGACCCAGTGAGGAACAATCTCATTGCCAACAAAGTCTCCACCTGACGAGTGAGAACAAAGTCTTCAGTCACGAGTAGGATCTTTAGGAAACGTCTTTTGTTTCTTGTTCCTCTCAAGGGTGGAAGCTCAACATGACAACAAGTTGCTATGCAATCTGACTTTGGTATTTCAGGTTCACCTTGCCTCCTCTTACCTGATTATATATAGAAGAGCCACCATTTACATTGTCCCACGGAAAAGTACCGCGAGGTGAGAGTTTTATTACGCTCGCTGCATATGCCAAAATGCTTTTAAGAAACTCAGTGCGCAATTTACAGTTCCATGGGAGCCCCGAGCACCGAACCCTGGGGCCTTCCTTCACAACTTGCTGTTCGTGGGCCCATCTTAATCGAAACATTGTCCATACAAACAGCTAAATCGAAACTGTGCCACTAGCCCGGGTCTTAAGGCCGGAGTCATCAAACGAGTGGTCTACCTCCTTGATCTCGTCCAGTAAAGAGCACTTCCCTTTGCAGTGTCACGTTCCTCTAGACTTTTTCTTTATTGAAAAAATCGTCAGCGCTAGAGGTCCCTCGTCCTATTCAGAAGTGCATTCAGGAACAAAAAGAATTCCTAAAACTTCAATGTCTGCACCTGCTTCATTATTTACTCTCCTTTAGTGTAAACGTGGGCATGGATATCCATGACTTGAAAATTCGAGCTATTCTGAACCAAGCTCTTGGATATTGCTCAGGCATCTAGCTTGGACATAGTTTGGTAGTTACTTGTTCGTCCATCACCAAGTCTAGGCGATTTGAAGCCTAGGAAGTTGTAAGTATTTGAGAACAAGCGACATGGAATCCTTTTCTTCTAGGTGCTTACTGAGTACACTCATCCTACTCCTAAATACTGCCGTTTGAAAGGCCAATTATTTTGACATGCTGTTACAGTAATAAAGCAGATGTAGTCGAGTCATTGATTCACGAAAGATTCTGAAATTTCCAAAACAGCTGGACGATCA